AGGGAGCCCCGCGCTCCCCGAGACCCGGAGGTGGTGGGGCTGGGGCGCTGGAGACGGAGGGCGCCCGGGGCAGGCGGAGGACCCGGGGGGAGGCATGCTGACTCCGCCGGGCCGGGGGACAGCTTTTAGCTGCACTTGGCGCCCAGATCCCCAAACTAACGCCTTTCAGAGAAAGCCGGGGGCCTGGGTCCCCGTGGAGCGGGGATTTGTGGGGTGTGGGGAGTACAGGAATCTGGGTTCGGGACAGTTCAGAGGGGATGGAACGTCCCCCGGGGTCCGGGTTTCCTGTGGGAAATAGGGGACAGTCTGACTCTCCGACGGGCTCCAAGCTCCTCGCTGCCGGTGCCTGGGGCGCTTTGCAGGAAATCGGGGAGTGGGGCTCCCCTTGGGGCTTCAGGCACAAGAAGATTGGCGGTGAGGGGTCAGGAGCGTCCTCTCTGGGGAGGGGAGCCCCTGGGGCGCGGGGTGCTCCCTTGGCCTAAGACAAGACACGTGGCCAGACACCTGGAGGGGGAGGGGAAGGGGGAGCTGGGCCTGCACCCCCGCTCCCCCGGCCCCCTCACACACAGCCCCGCAGCTTCCTGCCCCCGCCCGCTCCCCCTGCCCCGGGGACTGGTGTTGCCCGGGCTTCCCAGCCACCGGAGGGGGGGGCCCGGCCCGCAGGCCGCCCCGGGGTCCAGGAGCTCTCTGGAGGCGGCAGGAGGGAGCTGGTCCTGCATGTCTGCCCCCCACTTCCTGGCTTTCAGCCCGTGGACAGTCACTTCCTCCCTCCTGAATGCAAGGACCAGGCCACCGGCGGTCACTTCCTCGGCGTGGGAGCCTGGGGTTCTCTCCTCGTTCTTGATGATGGGCTTCTAGAGAGAGAGGGAAAGGGGGAGGGGGGGAAATGTACCCTGTCCGTTTCGTTTCTTTTTTAAGATTTCAGAGTTTTTCAACTCAAGTGATTTTCTTTCTTTTTTTTAAAGATATTTTATTTTATTGTTAATCCTCACTGGAGGATGTTTTTCCATTGATTTTCAGAGAGAGTAGAAGGGCGGGGGAGGGACAGATAGAGTAACCTGGATATGAGAGAGACACATCGATTGGTTGCCTCTGGCATGCACCCCTGACCGCATGCACCCCTGACCCGGGCTGGGGATCGGATCAAGCCTGCAACCGAGGTCCTTACCCTGGACGGGAATGGAACCTGGGACCCTTCAGTCTGCAGGCCGATGCTCCGTCCTGAGCTACAGTGTCCAGGGCTCAGATGGTTTCCTATGACGTTTCCTAACCTCTGGGTAACACAGGCTCCCTGTCTTGCACCTCGATTCTCAGAAACGTGTGCAAGATCTTGGCGTCCAAGTGTCGGTTAGGTTTCCTCTGAGTGAACGAAAAAACTGTCGCTGTCCCTCGGTGCATTGGTCTATATGTTCTGCCGTCAGAATAGTTGTTGGGTATTTCTGTCCGTGCACTTAGCCAAGCACGGAGGAGCGTAGTGATGAACTACGCAGACGCAGGCCTTGCCTTGGTGGTGCTGACAGTCCTAGAGATGGACAGCAAATAATCGAGGTGTAACAATGGAGATAAACGCTATCATAATTGAAATTAAACAACGAGGTAATAGGAATGCACCTGGGCTGAGTGGCTAGGGAATGCTTCTCTTTAAAAAGCAAGTTTATGCTTCCCCCTGAGACTCGGTAGAAATTCGCCCAGCAAAGAACACTCCAGGCCCCGAGGTAGGAAGGCAGGGAGTACCTTTGAGGAGCCGATAGAAAGCCAGTCTGGCTTTTTTATGGGTGAGGGGACTACGGCTCAGAAACCACCTCCTGGTTCCATAGCGAGATAAGCGGCGGTGGTCGGAGTTCATGTTTTCCAACTTGAAATTGAGGGCTTCATCCTCTCTCTCTCTGTCTCTCTCTCTCTGTCTCTCTCTCTCTCTCTCTCTCTCTCTCTCTCTCACAAACACCAGAACCAGGTTGCGCGGGGAGTCAGAGAAGGAAGTGGGGCTTCAGCTTTCCCTGGTTCTGGCCAAGCCGTCTCAAGACAACTCCGACTCCCGTGTAACAGGAGAGTCAGCGACAAGGAAATCAAATATTTACTGAGTGCCTGTGATGTCTAAGGCACTGGGCCGGGACAAGGTTTACCTCTCAGGCATTTTAACAGATGCTAGAGCCAGGGAGAGACTTGGGCTCGTGTAACTCTCCTCATTTTACAGAGGAAGAAGCTGAGGCCCAGGGATGAAAATGGATTTGTCCAGGCTCACTCGACTAGCGGTAGAGCCAGGACTCACCTAGGACTTACCTGTTCCCGTTGTAATATTCCAGGCTGCTTGGGACCTGTGGAGTCTGGCACACAGTGAGCCCTTAGTAAATATTTGTAGAAATAATCGTGTGATTTCTGCCTTTGAGAAATTCCCTGTCTGCTTAGAGTAATGAAGGGCGGGGGGGGGGGGCCCCACAGGCATCATCTCCTAAACTCTAAGGGACCCCATGAGGCTTGCAACCAGGGCAGCAATGGGCAGTTCATCCCTGGCAAACCCCTGAACTTGTCCCCAGGCCCCCTTTTCTCGGGGTGGGCGGGGAGGGGTGGGGGGGGAGACAAGCTATATAAAGCCTGTATGTGATAACATTATGGAATTTCAGAAGTGAGGGAGAACTCTATTCATACGTTCATTCTACAAATATATATTGAATTCGTACTGTCTGCAAGCACTTCTAGGCCCTGGAGGTACTTAGGGAACGAAATAGACCAAATCCCTTCCTTCGTGTTCTGGTGGGGAGAGATGGCCAATAATGAGCTATATGAATATCACGGTCAGGGATAAATGCTCCGGAGAGAAATAAAGTAAGATAAGCGTAGGAGCAGTGGGAGGTCAGGGAAGCCACTCTGGTCAGTGACATCTAAGCAGAGAAAGG